CTCTCTCTCTCTCTTGCTCTCTTGCTCTCTCTTCCTCTCTTGCTCTCTTTTCCTCTCTCTAGCTCTTTCTCTCTTTCTCTCTCTATCACTCTCTCTCTCTCTCTCTCTCTCTCTCTCTTTCTCTCACTCAAGAAAACACATATACACGCACACTCATACACATACACACACACACACACACACACACAAACACACCACCACACACATGTATGCATATATATACGCAAGCCCTCATACATTTTTATATGCACATATTATGGTCTTTTGTGTGCATGTGTATTTGTCTGTATGTGCATGTTAGTTTGTACAGAAGACGTCATATCACCGGCATTAAGAGTAACAACAAGTTTTACAAGTAAACATAGGTTCTTTGTATCATTCCTTGCCCTGGTAAAAGGTAGATTCCTCCACTATAATTCGGAGCAAATTTTGATATATATACAATATCTTCGTTTGTGATCTGCCTATGTACAGTTATTACAAGAAGAGCACACGGGAAAGATGGGCATTGTCACAAACTGGATATTGTGAGGGTGTCCATTTTAAAAGCTTGTAGAGTCATAGCTACATATTTTTGTTTGACTAGTGGTTCATTGTTATGTTTGTTGAACGGGAAATCAAACAACAATAATCAACCAACAGTTGAACAGAAATATAGTTGTGAGTCAACAAGAGCTTGAAATTGATTTGTGGTTTTGCTTGTGTATTGTCCAAGTAGAAATGAAAAAAAAATAGTTTGTAACAAAAACCAGTTTCGACTGTAAAAACATTTTTACTATGCCTGAAAGTAGAAGCCTTAGACAAGACAAAATGAGTCTGAAAAAAGGCACAGAAATAGTGACATTAGAAAGGAAGATCATGCCGAGTATTTAAATAAAACAAACAAGAAACTCAACATGAGATGGAGTTCATATTTAGAAAAATATTGAAAAAAATAGCTCATAGTATACATAATCGTTAACAAGTGCCATTTTTGGAAACAATGCTAAAAGAAATAACAATATGTTTCAATTATGAATACGTAGTCGTTAAAGAGAACGAATTAAAGACACGCGTGTGCTCACGTGTGAGAGAGACAGATAGACTGACAGAGAGAGAGAGAGAGAGAGGGAGAGAGAGAAATAGAGAGAGAGAGAAGAGAGAGAGAGAGAGAGAGCGACAATGAGTGAGAAAGAGAGAAAGAGGAAGACAGAGTAAGAGAGACCGAGAGAGAGAGAGAGAGAGAGAGAGAGAGAGAGAGAGAGAGAGAGAGAGAGAGACGGAACGGAGAGATTTGAGATTTGCACAAAAATCCCACCGGGGATCTAAACTAAGTCATACATAATAGTGATTTACTCTCAAACATCAAGCAGAAGTCGGTAACGTCGTCTTGATAACTGCGACCACTTCTGAGTCCTGATAACAACTGCCATCTTCTTCGTCTGCTGTCACTTCTAGCTCAATAGTAGCTATGTCTCTGCGCCTGCGCCTGGCAGCGGCTTGGGAGGAGCAGCCAACCAGAATGGAGCAGAGGGCTGAGATAGCGTACATGGTGGCCGCCATTATAAAGGGTGGCTTGAAAGAGCTGAAGTCATCGATGAGTTTACCTGTGGATGGAGGAAGAGTTGGAAGGGGTTGGAGTTGAAAGGGGATTTGGG